CTCACTCCTGGCTATGTTCTCCTGCTGCTTCCCCTTTGCCAACACAGTATTTGTCAGACAACCCAGCATGCTGTTTCAGCTTTCTAAAACTGCAAAAAAACAGAGTCTGAGGGGAAAAAAAAAGAAGAGTTTTCTGCTGGGTTAGCAAGCTGAACAGACTCACTGAGAGGTCAGACAAGTTTAATAACTGGCACAAGGGCTGCGCAAACTGTATGAGTAAGGTACCTTTTTCACTGCTATGAAGTCATCATATTTACTCAGCCCAATCATAAAACCTTAACTCATTTTTCATTGTGACTATTAGGGTATCTTAAAACATGTCCTAGTGGAAAAAGTAACTGATACAGAAAAACTCCCTTAGAAGTAAGCTTTCAGCATGCAGACAGCTTCCTTCATCTGGAGTTAGCAGCAGCAGTCAATACGAGACTAGAGTAAGAGGCAAATTTACAGAACGAAAAATAGTTCATGCAAGTCTGTTTTAATCTCAGGCAGAAATTCATACAAGCAAAGTGGTGAAGGGGTCTATAGTAAAAAGATTCTCTACATACAGTAACAAAATTCTCTGCATTTGAGATGAATTTAAAAATGCCATTGATAAATGAAGTATTTGTGGATCTAATTCTATCAGTAGTAACACTTTGTGCAAAATATTATAGATATTTCTTTACATTAGAGCAATAAGAAAAATAATTTACAGTGAAGGCTGCTGACTGGACAGCAGCTGAACTTCCAGAGGTAGTAAGTCTGGCATTCAATTCTTCTGCAAGATGACTCTGTATATCACAATTACTCTGTGAGAGAGGTATCTGAAGGTTCTGATTGCTATACATTGTTGCTTCATCTTCAGTTATAATTTCCCAGCTCTTTAAAAAGATAATAAAAGAGAAAAGCTTTTTAAAGAAGTGGTTCCAAACGACAAATAGTTGACAAGTTTTTGACTAGATAAAAGTTCCTTGCATTTCAGAAACATTTTGACATTGCTTTTACCTCAGGGGAATCTCTGCTGTCTAGATTTTCCGTATCCTCCGATATCTGTCGCCGATGAGCGAACACATGCTGGGCCTCCAGCTGCACATTACCGATATCTGCAACAGCTATGTTGTCCCTGTTGGGGCAGAGGGGCAAGTCAGCATACAGCAGCCAGATTTTATCTTTCAACAGTAGGCCAGGCCAACAGCAAAAACATACATTATAGTCATTTTGGCAGAAGAAATAGCATCATGAGCTATACAAATAAATGTGAACCGATTAAGAAGAATAAGCATTCATGTCAACATGAAGTTCAGTTTAAACTGAAGAACCAGATAGCGCTCCAGGTATTAGTTTTCTAATTCACATGCTAAAGGCGGGGGGGGAATAAAAAAAAACCAACCTGACAAAAATCCAGTTAAATAATTTAATGTGGTCCCTGCTGGGAAGGAGGAACCAGGCTCAGAGCTTAAAACTAATTTCCTTTCCATTACAATCGCAACCAGCTCCTATTTGAAAGCATACTGCCAGACAACAGGAAGGGAGTACTGTGCAGTTAAACTGAGAACTAACCAGTGACCACTACACATGGGCTTCAAGGTTAAAAGCTCTGGAAAGCTCTCTACTAATTCTGAAGCTGCTCACTTTCTAGTTTTCCTTGCTTTCAATGTAACTGGAATGAACTAATTACACAAGTTAATATAAGACTTGACTTTTCAGGCCAAAAGACATACTGAGCAGTTGGTCTTTTCCACTGTGTTCTTCTGAATTCATGATTGACGTAGTAGGTCCTGCCGAGGATGTCTTGCCTCTCTTCCCAGCCCGAAGGCAGCGGAGGAGATCCCTGCTGCTGCTGTTGTGGCTGGCTAGCAGCATCTGGTTGGTCCAGTATAATCCACCCAGGCTAAGAGATAGAATATTAATTACCTTGAAAATTACCAAAGTTGAAAAGGCATCTCAATGTATTAAACCCCCTCCTTTTAAGGTGCAGTCCCACTACATCTTAAGTCAGTAAGACTGGCTCTGAGTTTTACTGCATACATTTCTCAAGAAACAATAGGACAAATTATGCACGTAAAAATCTTATTTTTAACTCAAGTTCCTTAACCATAACAGCATCAAAAGATGTTTATTCCTGGAAAATAAGCAGTATCCATAGAATACATCTTAAAAATGTATTTAAAAAGTAAATAAATTTAATTTCATACATACACTGCAAATCTACTAGTCAGATGAGCATACCACTTTGTAACAGAGAGTTTAATTACAGCAAAGGTGGTAATGCTAATTAAAGTTCTCAAGTCTTGAAAGGAAACCCTCTGATCTAAATTGCATGCGCTCAAAAAAGAGTACAAATGTAATGCAGTTCAGATGAGAATATCCCTATAAATTGGAGAAAGTTGAAATTCTGACACCAGGAAGATGTCAGCATCTGTCTCTGTGGTCAGAAAACGTTACACAGCAGTAAAAATACTGAGCAATACTTCCACTAATCTTAAAACAAGAGAAGCTACATAGGCATGTGGCAAGTCAGCACAAGAGCAAAACCAAAAGCTCGATGTATGCTTTCATTTATAGATATACTGACAAATCCACTCCTTGAGTTAGAAGAACTGCTCCAGAATTTTTGTGCAGACTTACAACTTTTATGTAAGATACAAGCAATCATTTAATTGGTTTGTTTCTAAAGAACTATTTGTAACTCAGCAATTCCTAACATTCATTTTTACTGTAACTACCCTTCATAGCTGGAGACATTTGCTAGGTATTTCACAAATATATTTCAACAAATATATCTCTTCCCACCTCTAATTCTTCAGCCTGTTCTGTCGTTTCTTCTTCAGACCCATTGTTTTTAGGTAAGTAAGTCATTTTTAATCTAAGGTGGCCTTTAACTCTCGATTTATGGCTGCAGAAGAGAAAATAAAAATGTTCTTATTGTGTACTTGTGAAATTAATGAAGTTCTGTAATAGTGTTGAGGATTTAGACTTTGAAATTCACGTTGATATTATGTACCACAACTGGAAACATTTCTTCCCAACTCTTTTGAAAACTCCGCTAGTATCCAATGCATAACAGTAACAATCAAGAAAGTAAGAATAATGACAATGTAATTCATACAATAATTTGACTGCGTGCAGACAAACTTTCAAGCATTATCTCAACCTACAGGACTATCTTTCATAAAACTAAAGTTATAGCAAGGCTCATATACTTCAGCATCTGCCTCTCTGTATTTAGCTTATTGCATCATTAGAAGCCTGAAAATAGGATTTGCCCTTAGCAGTTTTATTTCATATTTTCACTTTGTAAAGAAATCTACCAAATTATCTGTTTGACTATTGGTATAGAAAAAAAAAAAGTCCTGAAAATATCACTAGTTAGTCAAATGGATACCTATACACCACCTTATTAAAAGAAAGAAAAAAAAAAAACACAACAACAAAAACAAAAAATCTCATCACAAAAGTCTAATACTTTGGGTTTGGTTGTTTTTGTGAATTAGATTTTCTGATATCCAGAAAAACATTTCATGTTGGATTATAAACATGTTCATTCAGACCATATTTTGGTTTCAGAAAAGCTCACACCCCTTTGAAAGAGGAAGTAACCTAAGCCACTTTTCAATACAACATTAAAGTAATTCATTTCAGAGTATTAACTTGTTAATGATTCCTACTCAGTTTGAGGTACTGGGAAGTGTCAATTCCTTGGTTTTTCTTAACACCGGCTTTCCTAAATGTTAAGCAACTTTTCAGTTTAAGTTTTGTTATGTTTATAACTAAGGTCACATGAAACTGCTTACATGACACAGGCAAACAAGAGAGACGTGAAGGCAGGAAACAATTTCAAGTTAAAAAGGGATGAGCTACAGCATAACATTGGTCACTGATTCCACCATCCAGCTCAAGAGTAAATCGTTCAGATGAAGTTATAATGTGAACGCTATCATGGCCTGAAGAAAACTGTTTATTTTTACCAAATAATCTGTACATATTTAAACAAATGCTGGCTTTTTAGTAGAACCACAAATTTCTTACTCCATTGATGTTCAAATTTTTTTGATGAAAACATAAAACTGCAGAAAACACTCATATACGTACAAGTAATTACAGAACAGGACTATTTAAATACGAAAGTATTTTTAGGCGGTATTTACTAACCTTCTTGGATGAAGAACAAAATCTTTAAATGTATATGGTCTCTCCATACTTGGATTTTCTGTCTGGAATTAGACAAGATTTTTCAACAAAACTTCAAGTGTTTGATACAGATTTAACGAAAATTATCAGAAATTTACAGTGGGTTTCTTTAAAGGCCATACCTTTCAGTGTATATATATTACAGTTTCTAAAGTGCAGAAAAAAAAAATAACCTGTTTACCCCGAAATCAAGAAACAGATTCTCAATTTTCAAATTGAAAACATCTATCATAGCTCTTTTTCCTCCCTCAATATTTTTCAAATCTTTTCACATGGAACATGCATTAAAAAATATTTCCATTTTTAGGACTTGGAGATGAAAAAAAAATACCACAGAAGAATTCATTCTGAGAAAATCTCTGTTCTGATTCACAACAGTGAAGCTGCTCAACAGAAAGAAGCACAGAAGTAAAAAGATATTTTCATTTATAAATATGGATTCTAGGTACTGGCAGAGTTATATACATGAGGGATGATTAAAGAAAACAAAAATATTTATTCTTCGAGTTAACATCAATACTTGTAATCTATCTGAAGTTCTGCAATTTGTACAAAAGTGATTGGTTATTACAATACTGTATGTTTAAGAAATATCTGTAAAATCTCTTCTTGTCTTGAAGACTGTTTCAAGCCTTGCATTCTTCTTCTTAAAAACACTACTAGCATGTCTCTCATAGCAGCAGAAACCATTATTTAAACACAACGCAACCTACCTTTTCTTTTTTTCTAAATAAATATCAGCAATAAAACACCCCTAAAAATATCCACAAAAGTAAACCACACAAATAATGCACAGAGCAGGAGAACTTAATCACTTATATTATCAGTACAGTTAACTTCCTTAGATGACTACCACAGTTGCATACAGAATCATTTTTCCCTTTCACAATCTTAAAAAAAAAATACAAACCGGTAACTGATAAAGAGGAATATCCACTTGCCCAAGAAAATCATCTCGAGTCTATAGAAGAAAAAAACAAAAACAGAAAACAAAAAGTTTAAAGTTACTATGTATTTTTAAAACATTGTTGCAAAGTCCTGACAGCATTAAATTACAGAGAATAAAACTTGTTCTGTAGAGAATGAGTTCTGACTGATCGAGCACTCAGAGCCTTCAACAGTTTTGCCTTCCTCAAAATAAATGAAGTTTGAGGGAGCCAGGGGTAGAGATTTAGGTTGGTTCTTAAATCACATAGACTAACACTAATCAAATTGGAATCCCAATTTCTATAAGCCCAGGCAACGTTTAAAACAGGCACACAAAAACTTTTTTTTTCTTTTTAAAATAAGACAGCTACTGTTAAAAATAAGACAAAACAAAAATAAGTTTCATCTGTTGTAAGTGCTTTGGAGGTTTCAGCAATTCCAGCAGTCCAAAGATCGGCAGCAGGAGCTTCAAGTTTGGCATCTCCCCTACCCCCTGCTCAGCATTCCT